GGGCCCGGCTCGCCGCCGTCGTCGGAGCTGCCCGCGCACCTGCGGCTGCTGCAGCCGCAGCCGCGCACGCACGACGCGCCGGCGGCGGAGGCGTGGGGGCCGAGCGAGGGCTCGGCCGGCGGCCGGCGCGGGGGGCGCGGCGGAAGCGGCAATGGAAACGGCGCCCGCGGCGGCCGCGGCAGTGGCAACGGGCGGCGCGACGCGCATATGTACTCGGATGAGGAGCTGGCCGACAAGACCCAGGAGGAGCTCAAGTGAGCGCAGCGCGCGCCTCTGCGCGCCCGCGCGCGCTCGCACGCAGCGCCTCGAAACACCAACACTGCTTCGCGGTGCTGCGTCTCAGGCGCACGCGCCCAGCCCCTGCGTCTTCTCAACGCCTGGACGCGATGTGCCCAGCAGCTCGCCGCGCGAACCCTTCCACCAACCCTTTCTCTCACCCCGTTCTGCGCACCCCCACTCCCCAGGGCGCTCGCCCAGGACCTGTGGCGCAGGGCGGCCTCCCACTTCAAGAGCGCAGACGTGTTCGAGGCCGCGGCCCAGGATGCCATCCTCGTCCGCAACGACGAGGCGGGCATGGCCACGCTGATGGCCCGGTCGCGCGCGGAGCGCGCAGAGGCCAACCGCTATAAGAACGAGGCGAGCCGCATCTCATACAAGTGAGCCGGCGGTTGCATTGGTTTTGTGAGGGGTCGCGTGAACGCGGGCTGGCGCTTTGTGGGGAAGGTAGCGCGTGGGGCCGCGCGGCGTGGGCCGGGCGGTGGGCCCGCTTGTGCGTGCACCGGCTCTGCGTGTGCACGTCCATCAATTGGCTGCTGACGCGCAGCTTGCGTGCGTAGGCACGCGCGCGCGCGCGCACGCGCACACAAACTCTTGCTCTCTTTCTCTCTCCCTCTCTCGCTCTCTCTCTCTCTCTCTCACACATGCGCACACACACACACACACACACACACACACACACACACACACACACACACACACACTCACAACACGCACGCACCCCCTCAGGGCGAACAACCTGGACAAGCGCAACGAGTGGGTCATTGACCTGCACGGCCTCGCAAAGGCGGCCGCCATCCGCAAGGTCGCCAACGACCTCCAGCTGCTGTCGTCTGTGGCCCACAGCGGCGGCGTGCTGGTCCGCATCATCACCGGCAAGGGGCTGCACAGCGCCAACGGCGTGCCGGTGCTGCGCGCGCAGGTGCGGTCCCAGAAAGCAGCGCGGGCGGGCGATTGGCGTGTACGTGCGCTCGCACGCGGCGGCCGGCCCTGGTCTCAGCGGTGCGTGGGGCTTCTGGTTTCGAGGCCTCCACGGTGACGTGGCACTCTCACCCCTTGCCCACTACTTCTTCCGTCCCTGCCCCTTCGCCCTGTCTTTTGCGCGCGCCCTGTGTGCAGGTGCTGCAGCACCTGTCAGAGATGCGCTTGGAGCACCGGGTGGACCCCGCCAACGCCGGCGTGGTGCAGGTGTTCCTGCAAGAGGGCGGCGCGCGGCGCGGCAGCGGCGACGCGGGGGCCAGCACCAGCTATGGCGCCTGAGAGTGGGCGGGGGCGGCTGTGGTTGGGCCCCATGAGGCTGCCTGCACTGTCCCCATGTTGCCAGCCTATGAGCTTGTTGGAGCTGTGAACTTCATATGTTGGTGCAGTGTGGCACAGAGCCGGCTCCCTTTTGTGTCGCAGCGAGCAAAGGGCCCCATGTTGTCTGGGTGTGCCTGCTGTTTGCCTGCAACCTTGCCTGCGCGTGCTGCCCGGGTTGAATTGCATATCAACGAAGGCTGGGTGGGCCTTACCCCAACAGTATCATCACTTTGATGCTAGAGGTCAACAAGGGTTGAAATTAGTCGATTGCCTGTAATGTTCAATGCAAGTGAGGGGTCACTGTATATCATGCAATCCTGGACGATATGTATGTCGCAAGCACATGTTGGTCTACTGTACTGGTGCCGTAATCACCACGCGCACAATGTAGCCAAGGTCCGGGTCAGGGTCTTGTGAACGCACCAGGACCCCTTGCCTGGCGCCGCAAACGGTGCCCCTGGCGATAGGGGGCCCGATGGGAACTGGCAGTTCCCAGCTTGCGGGCCACTCCACAGTCATGCCAGCTCCTGTTCTAGCGAACCCCTGGCTTGATGCCTGCTGCCCCTAGCAGGATCGTCCACGCAGCCGGCCTTTTGCTTGCAATGCTTGCTTGAGGATCGCGTATGGGTGCATTCTGAAGCTGCCGGCTTGGGGCCTACACAGCAGCTCCGTGCCTACTGCCCGCCGCCCGCCTCGCCAGCCGCACGCCCGCCCACGCCGGCCCGCGCAGCAGCGTCCGCCTCCTGCTGCCTGCGCTGCCCGGCGGCCGCGGCCGCGGCCTCCGCCGCGCCGATGTGCACCACGACCCGCCCATGAACGCAGCCGCGGCACACCGGGCACCGCTTGGCGCCGGCGCCGCCATCCCCAGCGCCCGCGCGGCGCGAGCGCGCGGCGCGGCCGCCGCCGTCGCTGGCCGCGCCCATCTGGTCGATGCAGGCGCTGCAGGCGACGTAGTGGCAGCAGGGCAGCAGCACAGAGTCCCGGGGGCGCTCGCAGCAGATCTGAGGGAGCACGGGGGCGGAGGGAGCGCGCGATGGGTCCGGCAAACACCCGCAGCAAAGCGGCGCCGCGTCCGCACAAACAGGCCATGCAAAACCTGCGCACACTGGTCAACCCCCAACGCAATCCTGTCGATTGAAGGATGCAGGCGCTGGCGGTACTTCTTATGAAATTGAGGGCAACAAGCGCCGGGTCCCTCAAGGCCGAGGCAGAGGCGTGCCCACCGTGCAGAGGATCTGGTCTTCCAGGTCTCGCGCCGCCGCCCGCGCCCCCTCCAGGTCGCGCCCCAGCTCCTCGCAGCGCGCCGCGCCCTCCGCGGCCGCGGCCTCGGCAAGCTGCAGGCGCGCCAGCGCCGCGTGGGCTGGGGCACCAGGGGAGAGGGCAGAGGGGCGTTGAGGGGGCGGGGGTGCGGGGCTGTTGAGGCCGCCGGGTGACAGGGACTGACCGGCCCCTGGGGTGCTGCGCCCCTCTGCTTCATCGGCAGGCAACAATGCAGCTTCAGGCTCTGAAAGACTGACAACTCAAGCTCCCGCGCATGTGAAATAACCAAGGGGCAGCAGGTAAAATCCGCGCCCCGTCGCTTTCGCACCCGCGTCACCCTCGCGCCTGAGCCGCTGCTCCAGCAGCGCCCCCTCCTGCTGCAGCTGCAGCGCCAGCCCCAGCGCCGACGCCACTGCGCGGCCGCCGTCGCCCGCAGCAAGCGGGTCCGCGGCTGCGCGCGCGAAGGCGGCGCCCAGCGTCCAGCCGCCGGGCCGGGAGAACAGCGCCTGGAGCGGCGCGCCGAGGCCGCCCGCCAGCACTGCCGGCAGGCC